CTCTGTGCAGCGCAGGATGATGAGCCGGGCCTTCACCCATGAGATGCTCGCAGCACCCCTCCCAACATTATGGCAACCAATCATGGGGTTCTGCAGACACTGCCAAGCTGCCTGCCATTGAGAATCACGGGTCCAAGGTGGTCTAAGCCCCTCCCATTCACCGAATATTTGCTCTCCTGTTCTCTCTGGAGTTGGGGGCCAATGAAAGGAGTCTCCCAAGAGGTTTTGAAAAAAAAACATTCTTCCTGACAAAAATGAATGACCTTTTCAGGAGGAAACCTGCCCCCTCTCCTCCTTCTGACTTAGGACACCTGGAGTTGCTCCACCCACCAGCAGCCCCAGAAGAGGGAGTGACACTCAGGGACGCTGACCTGCCGATGGGGTGTGGACGTTCCTACCTCTATTCCTCTCGTTCTGTGACATCATTAAATACCATCATCATCTAAGCCATTTTTATTTGAGCATTCCATTATTAGTAGCCAGACATATTTTTAATTAACTCATAAGAAGGATTTCCTCTGTGTTCACCTTAGAAGTGTCAGGCATCCCCCAAACCCCTCGGAGCTGGAAAATGAGCCCCTATGTGTGGTCTCTGTAATATGATTTACAGACCACAATTTCATTTGCCCACAAATGTCAGCTACTGAGGCTGAAAAGTTCTGTTTTTTAAAGCAATTCTAGATTTTCTATGTAGAAGTGAGACTCAACCAGCTATGGTCAACATCTTTTCCGGTGCCCAAGTTGTGTGTCTGTTTTGATCAATTAGGATGCGTGCATAGAGATGTAAGTTATTACACCTTTGCCACATTTCCAAGGACCGAGTCTCCAGTACGATGGGGCTTCCCTGGAAACAGCTGCTGTCTCTGGTCTTACACATACATGAGCCTCCTTCACTAAAGCCATTGGCCTGCATATATATATAATAATATATATAACATTAAATATATATATATTTAATTGTCACTGAAATTCGTGGCTGGAGGGAACTACAAAGGTCAATGGGTTCACTTTCCCCACTGTACAGATGGAGAGACTGAGAACCAGGGACGCTCAATGGCCCAGGGCCCCACAGCCACCAGGTGGAGGCGGAGCTGGGAACAGGACTCTTTTGTGCCCTTTATATTTTTCTCTTTTGTTGTTCTTCCAATTCCTCCCCGCTTCTTATGTTTCTCTACCTGGATATTATGTCCTAAATCACTCATTTACAACATACCCAGGCACCCCCAAGTGCTGTGCCAACTGCCATGGGGTGCCCAACAGAATAACCACCACGGCGCACTCTCCAGGTCCACTAGCTAAATCAGCTTCCCCTGGGAGGACCTCTGTGGCCCAAAGTCCTCCAGCCTGATAGCATGACTGGAACACCCACAAGCCTCCCTGGAGGGCTCAGTGCCTCCTCGATGTGCCTTTGATTTGGATGCCATGGCAGAAGAGCTGTGCCATGCCGAATGTGCCTCTGAGGAGCCCCTGTGTCTGTGAGTTTCTGCAGGCCCAAAGTGCTTCCCCATCCAGGACTCAAGCTGAGCCTCCCACCAAGGTGGCAAAGTCAGTAGGGCAGATACTTTTTTCAACTACAGCTGAGGGTGTTGATGTTTAAGTCCTAGTCAGAGGCCGTGCACCAGGGACCATAGCAGCAGCAGACACCAGGGTCCAGGTCTCAACTTTGTTCTGGCCAAAGGACCAGCATCTCCTTGCCTGAGCCGCAGCATGGACTTCTGCTTCTTCTGGGGATCCTTGAGCTTTGCTCCCTTCTATCTCTTAGCAAAATATGTAGTGAGAGTAAACTTGACCCTCTCGCCAGTATCCTGACACTCTCGGCTTTTTATTTTGGAATGTTCATAATTTCTGGCTTCCAGATAACCTACCTCTGATGCAAATTGCACAGGAATCCCTCATTCTGCATCGCTGATCCTGATGTAGACGCACTTGTAATTTCTCTATGAATAGACATCTAAGTGCTGGTTAGCTTTCACAGAGCGACACGGGAACGAGCAGAAGTGGGCACAGCAGCACATGAATATCAATCACCTCTATTATGATCCATGCACAGTGGAGCCGCCTCGGCAAATCAACAAAAGCTTGCTTCTCCACTCACGGGGCTGGCATGGATTTGGAGGCCAGACCAAGCTGCAAATGCATCTCTTAGTTCAATAAGCACAGAATGGTTTTGTTATGGTAGTTTTAATTTCCGTTTTCCAGTTGTTATATGTGACTTTCATGGCTAGAAATCCCAGCGTTGCAGGAGGCGTTGCCCTCCCTGAGCCCCTGCATTGTCTGCACACACACTACGACTCTCATGAGAACACATCCCAGCCTTGCCTTGCCGTTTCAAAGGCCACCAGTGACCAGAGCACCAGGCACTGCCGTTTCCACAACTGCACGGGTTTGGCAGGGGAATCCCCTTTAGATAGATCCTTTTTCTTATCTCAATGACCAAAATCTCTTATATTACCTTTATCTCACCTGCAGCTGCTAAATTGTACTTCTGTAGGCTGAAAACTCATTAATAATTGTAGGACTGTTATCAAAAAGTTTAAGCCTTATTGGAAGACATTGGAAACTCAGGGAGGTTTTAGTGCTTCACTAACAACTTTTCTAGGAACTCTAATGGGGAAGCAAAAGAAATAGCAAATGGGAAAGGATTTACAAATTTGGATTTCTTTATCTATTTATTTTTTTCTTGTTTGGAGATGAAGTTTTGCTCTTGTTGCCCGGGCTGGAGTGCAGTGGCATGATCTTGGCTCACTGCAACCTCTCCTCCCAGGTTCAAGTGATTCTCCTGCCTCAGCCTCCTGAGTAGGTGGGAATATAGGTGCATGCCACAACTCCTGGCTAATTTTTTTGTATTTTTAGTAGAGACAGGGTTTAACCATGTTAGCCAGGAGGGTCTTGATCTCCTGACCTCAGGATCTGCCCACCTCGGCCTCCCAAAGTGCTGGGATTACAGGCGTGAGCCACCACACCCAGTCACAAATTTGGATTTCTTACAACAGATACTTGGAAGTCAACTGAGGCTACTGGGTAGGGGAGTGACTGGGGAGGAAGGAACAGGTTCAGAGGGAGTAGAAGAATTCCAGGGATGTGGAATGGGGGCTCTGAAAGAAAGCAGGGGTGGAGCTTGTCTACTACTTTTAATATTTTTATTTCAGATTTTGTTTCCCATTACGTATTGGCATGTTTTTATATAGCTAGGTTAAATATTTTCAACAATTCTTTGACATAGCAGGTCTATTTAAAAGATACTAGAGTACAGAAATATAGACCGAAATATACAGGAAAAATATGTCTATATGTGCACACACACAAAGATATTCTTTGCACATTTTCTGTAATAGTGAAAAAGTAAAAACAACTTACGTATACATTAATAAGGGACTGGTTAAAAACTGACGGTACATCTACAATAGAAAATATGTGGTTGTCATTAAAAAGGATGAGATCGACCTGTGTGTTCTGGCTTAGGAACATGGCCACAATGTAGGTAGAGTTATAACAACAAGTTGCAGAACAATATGTATAGAATAATGGTATTTACAAAATAAATACATGTGTGCATATAAAAAGCTATGGAAAGGATGCAAACTCATCTCCTGAGTTGCTGTCTATGTAGATGAGAAATGCAGTGGATGTCCCCACACTTCCTCCCCTGTCCTCTACTGTGTTGTTTGACTGTTTCCTACAAGCGTGTATTACTTTCATAACAATAACAGGAATGGTTGAAAATTGTAGTGGTTCTATTCTTAAGCATACACCCAGGAGAACTGCAATAATACACCCACACAAAGTCTTGTACATGAATGTTCAGAGCAGTCTTAGCTGAAAATCAGTGTAGCTTCACTCTCCCCACGTCGCCTTCCTTCTTGTGGTGCTCCAGGCCCAACAGACAGCGCATGGCACAGTCTGCCGCAGCCTTCCTGGTGGTGCTTTGGCATAGATGCTGACCCTCAGGCTAGACTCATCTCCACTACCGTCGTGTCTGCCTGTAGACCTCTACCTCTTCTGTGAGCTAAAATGTTCATGTCTGGTTATGACAGTTCCAGCTAAAGTAGCCACTTATTTCTGGTGCTTTACCCGAAACCCTCCAACTTTCCATCCTCAGAACACCCCTCCTTCCTTCCTCACTCATGGATTTTCTTAGTGACAGTGACTGCTGCATGTACCACTTTTACTTTTTCTCCAGAGTGGTTTCTCCCTGTGTCTGTCTCCCCACGAGGTCCTGTGCTCTTGGAGGCAGGGACTGTCTTGTACACATCATAGTGTTTCCACAATTTCTGGTTCAATGTCTTGAACTTGGTACATTTTAGTAACTTAGTTGGATCCATTTCTGACTTCCCTGAACTTGAACTTTTGTCTGCTACATTTATAATATCCACATTACACTTCCAGGCGAATCCAGCCTTCCCTCCCCTGAAGTGAACTAATTTCAGGTTGGAGGAATCTTTGTGGTTCCTTATATCCAGGATGAAGCCTATCTTTGAAGTTTATGCAAAAGGCATCTTTGAATAGATCATCAATGTGTCTGATAACAGAACAGCATTTTACCCAGTACGATTCTGTCTTTTCTCTGTCCATAAAAACCGTTCAGTGGATCAGAACTGGAACACAGTTCCTTCAAGTCTAAAATGCTGTGAAGTCCAGTGGACAAAGAGTGGTCACTGGCCAGTGATCCAGAAAGGGCGCTGGAGACCTTCCATCTGGAGGGCAGGGCGGGCATGTGGGCTGGACTCTGGTGCACAGGGAGGCATGGCAAGCAGGGTGGTGAGAGATGTGCTTGTTTAGACCCCTAAATGACTGTCGATCTTTCTTCATCCTTTTTCTCTGAGGTCCCTCTGGATGATCTGATCTATTCAAACATCTACACACTGATGATTTTTGAGATGGTAGCTCTCCTGAATTCCAAACCTGAATGTTCTTTCTATGGGAAATAGCCACATGAATGTCCCACAGGCATCCCAAATAAAGTATTAATGAAACTGAACTCCTTATCTTTCTTCCAAAAGCTTCTGGTCTTCCTGGATCTCTATCATGGTTCAAGACATGGCTCTATCTTGTCCCACAAGGAATCTCAGGTAAGATTTTAGTCCTCCCTCTTTTTCACCCACACAGAAGCCTGTGACACCACCTGTGAGGCACCTCTGTGGTCCATTTCTCTGCACCCATGGCCATCCCACCACTCCCAGTCCATGGGTACTTAACAGTGTCCAACATGCTTCTCTTTTTGTTTACCATTACTCTGATCAGAGTATTATCTTTTAAGAATATAAAATTGTTATGCTACCCTTATGCTGAAAACCTGTGAGGGATCCTAGAAGGGGGGTAGAGCAAAACGGCAGAATAGAAGGTTCCACTGATCATCCGTCCTGCAAGGACACCAACATAACAACTACCTACACAAAAAAGCACCTTCATAAAAATCAAAAATCAGATAGGCACTCACAGTACTGGCTTTAATGGCATATTTGCCACAAGAGGCACTGAAGAGGCAGGAAAAGGTCTTGAATCGCTGGTGCCATCCCTTCCCCACCTCCAGCCGTGGTGGTGTGGAGTGGAGAGTGTGTGAGAGGGAGGGGGAGAGGGAGAGTGCAGCAATTGTAAGGCTTTGGATTCAGTGCTGCCCTGTTATATCAGAAAACAAAACCAGACCAAACTCAGCTGACGCCCACACATGGAGGGAACATTTAAGCCAACTTTATCCAGGGGGGAATTGCGGAACCCAGCCGTTCAAACTTAAGGGGAGGGAAGGGTGAGGAAAAGTGCATCTTGTGGTTTGAGTACCAACTCAGCTGTGGTACAATAGAACACCAGGTAGAGTTCTAAGGCTTTTGACTGTAGTCTCTGGCTCCCAGATGGCACATCAAGCCCAGCAATTCAAACCTAAGCCTTGCCTCTGCAAGCTAAAGTGCTCTGGGCTCTAAATAACTTGGAGGGCAGTCTAGGCCATAAGGACTGCAACTCCTAGGGGAGTCCTAGTGCTGAACTGGGCCCAGAGACAGTGGACGGCGAAGTGGCATGGGGAGGGCATGTGACCTACTGAGAAACCAGCTGGGGTGGCTAAGGGAGTACTGGCATCTTTCCCTAACCCTAGGCTGCACAGCACACAACTCCAAAAGAGACCCCTTCCCTCCTCTCAAGGAGAGGAGAAGAAAGCATGGGGAGAACTTTGTCTTGTATTTTGGATACCATCTCAGCCACAGCAGGCTAGGAGGACAGTCAGAGTTGTAAGGTCCCCTTTCCAGGCTCTAGCTCCTAGACAACATTTCTAAACATACCCTGAGCCAGAAGGGAACCCACTGCCTTGAAGGGAAGGACCCAGTCCTGGCAGGATTTATCACCTGCTAACTGAAGAGCCTTTGGGCCCTGAATAACCAGCAGTGATACACAGATACTAACTATATTGAGGGCTTTGGGTGAGACTCTGAGGCTTGATGGCTTCACGTGAGATTCAGCACTTTCCCAGCTGTGGTGGCCATGGGACAAGACTCCTTCTGCTTGAGAAAAGCAGCGGGAAAAGTAAAGGGGACTTTGTCTTGCACCTTAGGGACCAGCTCAGCCACAGAGGGATAGAGCACCAAGTAGGTTCTTGGAGTCACTGATTCTAGGACTTGGGTCTTGACATTTTTGGACCTGCCCAGAGTCAGAGGGGAGCCCACTGCCCTGAAGAATGAGTCCCAGGCCAGGCAACATTCACCACAAGCTAACTGAAGTGCCCTTGGACCTTAAGGGTACATTGTTGGTAGTCTGCTAGTATTCTCCATGGGTCTGTGACAGTGGTGGCCATGGGAGAGGCTCCTCTGCTTTTGGAAAGGGGAGGGAAGGGTGAGGAAAACTGCATCTTGTGGTTTGAGTGCCAACTCAGCTGCGGTGCAATAGAACACCACGTAGAGTTCTAAGGCTTATGACTGTAGTCTCTGGCTCCCAGATGGCACATCAAGACCCACCCAGAACCTGGGGGAGTTTACCATCCAAAGAGGACACAGCCTGCCTGGTTTTGCTACCTGCTGATTGTAGAGCCCCAGGGCTTTAAGCAAACATAGGCCGTAACCAGGGAGTGATTACAATAGGCCTTGAGTGAGACCCCAGTGCTGTGCTGGCTTTAGGTATGACCCAACGCAGTCCTAGTGGTGTTGGCCACAGGATTGCTTTTGTCACTCCACCCTCAGTTCCAGGAGGCTCAGAACAGATACAGAGTGACTCCGTTTGTTTGGGAGAAAGTAAGAGAGGAGACCAAGAATCTTTGCCTGATAACCCAGAACATTCTTCTGGATCTTATCTAAGATCATCAAGGTGTTACCTCTATGAGTCTGCAAGAACCATGGCATTACTGGGCTTGGGGTGCCCCCTAAAGCAGATACAGCTTAGATCACAACACCCAAGTCCTTTTGAATATCTGGAAAGCCTTCACAAAAGGGCAAGTACAAACAAGCCCAGACTGAGAAGACTACAATAAATACCTAACTCTTCAATGCCCAGACAGAGATGAACATCTACAAGTATCAAGACCATCTAGGAAAACAGGTCCTCACCACATGAACTAAATGAGACAACAGGGACCAATCGTGGAGAAACAGAGACATGTGACCTTTCACACAGTGAATTCAAAACAGCTATTTTGAGGAAACTCAAAGAAATTCGAGATAACGCAGGGAAGGAATTAAGAATTCTATCAGATAAATTTAACAAAGGAATTGAAATAATTAAAAAGAACCAAGCAGAAATTCTGGAGCTGAAACACGCAATTGGCATATTTAAGAATGCATCGAAGTCTCTTAATAGCAGAACTGATCAAGTAGAAGAAAGACTTAGTGAACTCAAAGACAGGTTATTTGAAAATACAGAGTCAGAGGAGACAAATCAGAAAAGAATTTTTAAAATGGAGCACATCTATGGGATCTAGATAACAGGCTCAAAAGTGCAAATCTAAGAGATACTGGCCTTAAAGAGGAGGTAGAGAAAGAGATAAGTGTGGAAAGTTTATTCAAAGGGATAATAACAAAGAATGTTCCAAACCTAGAGAAAGAGATCAATACGTAAGTACAAGAAGGTTACAGAACACCAATCTGATTTAACCCAAAGAAGACTACCTCAAGGTATTTAATAATGAACCCCTAAAAGACTCAGGATAAAAGAAAAATCCTAAAAGTAGCAACAGAAAAGAAAGAAATAACATAAAATAGAGCTCTAGTACATCTGACAGCAGACTTTTCAGTGGAAACCTTACAGGCCAGGAAAGAGTGACACGACATATTTAAAGCACTGAAAGAAAAAATACTTTTACCCTAGAATAGTATATCTGGTAGATATAGTATTCAAATCAAACTATATATACTACTCACTGTCAAACATGAAGGAAAAATAAAGACTTTCTCAGACAAGCAAAAGCTGAGGGACTTCATCAACACCAGATCTGTCCTACAAGAAATGCTAAAGGGATTACTTTAATTAGAAAGAAAAAGATGTTAATGAGCAATAAGAAATCATCTGAAGGTACAAAACTCACTAGTAATAGTGAGTACACAGAAAATACAGAATATTACAACACTGTAACTGTGGTGTGTAAATTACTCTTAAGTAGAAAGACTAAACAACGAACCAATAAAAAATAATAATGACCACAACTTTTCAAGACATAGACGGTATGATAAGATATAAATAGAAACAACAAAAAGTTGAAAAGCAGGGGGATGAAATCAAGGCTTAGAGTCTTAATAAAGACTCTAAGTTTTCATTTTGTTTGTTTATGCAAAAAGTGTTAAGTTGTTACCAACTTAAAGTAATGGATTGTAAGATAGTATCTGCAAGCCTCATGGTAACCCAAAAATATGCAACAAATACATGAAAAATAAAAAGAAAGAAACTAAATCACACCACCAGGGAAAATCACCTTCACTAGAAGAAAGACAGGAATGAAAGAAAGAAGGAAGAAAAGACCACAAAGCAACCGGAAAACAAATAACAAAGTGGCAGGAATAAGTCCTTACTTACCAATAATAACATTGAATATAAATGGACTAAACTTTCAGTCAAGAGACATAGAGTATCTGAAGGGATTAAAAAAAAAAATAAGACCCAATGATCTGTGGCTTACAAGAAACATACTTCACCTATAGCGACACATAAAGGCTGAAAATAAAGGGATGGAAAAAGATATTCCATGCCAATGCAAACCAATAAAGAGCAGGAGTAACTTTACTTACATCAGACAAAATAGATTTCAAGACAAAAACTGTAAGAAGAGACAAAGAAAGTCACTATACAATAATAAAGGTGTCAATCTAGCAAAAAGATAAAAAAAATTGTAAATATATATGCATCCAACACCGGAGCACCCAGAATATGTAAAACAAATATTATTAGAGCTAAACAGAGAGATAGATCCCAATACAATAACAGCTGGAGACTTTAACACCTTACTTTTAGCACTGAAGAGATATTCCAGACAGAAAATCAACACCAAAACCTCAGACTTAGTCTGCACTATAGATCAAATAAACCTAATAGATATTTACAGAACATTTCACCCAATGGTTGCAGAATATATATATAATCTTTTCCTCAGCACACTGAGAACATGATCATTCTCAAGGATTGATCATATGCTAGATCACAAGACAAGTTTTAAAACATTTAAAAAAAAACTGAAATAATATCAAGCATCTTCTCTGACCACAATGGAATAAAACTGTAAATTAACAACAACAGGAATTTTGAAAACTATACAAATACATGAAAATTTTAAAATATGCTCCTGAATGACCAGTGGGTCAATGGATAAATTAATAACAAAATTGAAGAATTTATTGAAACAAATAATGGAAGCACAATATACCAAAACCTGTGAGATACAGCAAAAGGAGTGCTAAAAAGGAAGTTTGTAGCTCTAAGTGCCTACAGCAGAAAGGAAGAAAAACTTCAAATAAACAACCCAATAATACATCTTAATGAAAAAAGTCAAAAGCAAAGAAAATCGAAAATGAATGGAAAAGAGATAAACCAGAGCAGAAATAAATGAAATTGACAGAAGAAAACAATATAAAATATAAATTGAAAACAATATAAAATATAAATGAAA